CGCTCGAAACTATTGAAATTTTTGACCACCTGGCATCGACGAACACCACCAGAAAAGATAGTATCAAAAGAAGGGCATGCCTAGACACTTTCTCTGTGATAATATTTTTTAGGAGTCCTTAGGAATTTTTGTTGTAGACACTCAAAATCCTGTTCTTGTTACAGTTGCTAATAACTAAAACATGTGAAATCTGTGAAGTCACACGTTCATCTGTTGAATTTCCGGTTGTGAAATATGTATTTTGTCCTTTCACACCTAAACCAACTGAGTGCGCATGTATGATGACCGTAGTTTCATAATGCGCATATATTTTATGATCACATTTAAAAATCGGCGGGGTTGTATCATATTCCGCTAACTCGTTACTTGTGTAAACAATCGCAAACTATCATCGACATCAAAGATGAGCTAGACAATGTCCTCATCAGGATTAACTTGGGTTGAAACAAAAGAAAATAAGCCTGTTAAGAAGCTTAAGTGGCCACTTGAGAGGCGTCGTGGCTCCTTCCGTTAGTACCTTCCATGGTCTAATGTAACTGTTTGAGAAGATGCTGAGAATGTGGCATATATATATTGGTGTTTGTTTTCTGTTTCTGTTTGTTTTCTCAGGAGAGAGTTGTGAAAACTTCAAGAACCATAGAAGAAGCTTTAGGATTAGTAATACCATTAAAAACTAATGAAGTGGCATTTGAAGAAAATAACCATAAACTTGTACACATGACAGGAGAGCTCAGAACGGATATGGTAAATTCAAGTAAATCTATCAATAAGAAACAAGAAAGAGCGGATAGACTTCCACTAAGTTTTACATAATTATCTGAACAACATTATGAATTTTTGAGCAACATTTATTTATTAGTTAACTGGTTTTGAAAAATATTATTCCTTTGAAAAACTTTTTTTTATTGTAGATATTAGTAGATTTGGAATATGGAATCCAAATACAAGTTGTCAAGTTGAGGCGAGACGTTGAAATGTTTCAATGGGTTGAAGATAAGCGTGTTAAGCAGATAAATGAAGCCGATCAGCCTAGATCAGTAACGCTATATACCTATAGTACGTATTAATTCAATCCCACTGTATACCTATAGTACGTATTAATTCAATCCCATTGTATACCTATAGTACGTATTAATTCAGTCGCACTGTATACCTATAGTACGTATTAATTCAATCCCACTGTATACCTATAGTATGTATTAATTCAATCCCACTGTATACCTATAGTACGTATTAATTCAATCCCACTGTATACCTATAGTACGTATTAATTCAGTCGCACTGTATATGCATGGGAGTAACTCACCTTATTAAATCCAAATATTGCACCATGGCTATACAGAAAATAGTGTAGGTTCGCAAATGTCTGGGATTTAAAATAGTGGATTTCAAAATACATGTATGTGTGAGCTAATGCTCTGGAGTAGTCCACAGATGTGATTAGTTTAATGTTCAAAATCATGCATATTAATTATCTATGATATTATAAGCGAATTTCTGATATCTCAAAAAATCAGATTCAAATTGAACTTATGGTAGAGGTGCTCTGCAATAAATTAGACTGTAAAACACAGAATGATGTAAAATTAAATTTGTTTTCTGTAAGTATTATGATCTTCAATAATGTGGATCACATTGTTTTCATGCATCTCAAATAGCTGACAAATATAAGCTAATCTTAAATTTGGAATTAATTTTTATTATGTCTCAAATACGGGAGTTCTTTCTAAGCTTTCTTTGATTTTATTTTGTCTACAGGGAGACAGTGGAGTCCAGAGCTTATAGACAGTAATGACTTTGATGACAGTGAAACGTATCCCAATCCTGTGTAAGTATAACAATGGATATTTCTGTGTTGTATTTAGACACTATTGTTTTTTAGTCCCCGTTCGGACAAATCCGAAAACGGGGACTTATAATTCGGTCTCCGTCTGTGCGTCCGTGCGTACGTCCAGAGTCATATCTCAGAATCCTTTGGACCGATTCCGTTCATTCTTTGCATGTGCCTAGTACTTTATGTGGGACATATGCACATGCAGTGGTTTAGCGATTCGATTCAAAATGGCCGACTGGCAGCCATCTTGTTTTTTGAAAATGTCGTATTTTGGACATGCTTTGTCAGTTTTCATTCAACTTTAGTACATAGATCATATATGTTAGGATACATGTCCCCGACCGTTCCTGAGCCTGTGCATCTGTCCCTGTGTTCGTTCATTCGTTCGTCAGTCTGTCCAGAGTCATATTTCAGAATCCTGTGGACCGATTCCGTTCATTCTTTGCATGTGCCTAGTACCTTATGTGACACATAGGCACATGCAGTGGTTTAGCGATTCGATTCAAAATGGCTTGTTTTTTGAAAATGTTATATTTTGGACATGCTTTGTCAGTTGTCATTCAAACTTGGTACATAGATTATACATGTTAGGATACATGTCCATGACGATTTATTTCGCAATTGGATCAAAGATGGTCAACTGGCAGGCATCTTGTTTTTTTTATATGCAGTATCTTGGACATGCTCTGTCAGTTTTCATTCAAATTTAGTACATACATGTACTTTATACATGTTAGGATGCATGTCCATGACAATTTGTTTCAAAATCTGGTCAAGGATGGCCGATTGACAGCCATCTGACTTTTTGGCCTTACTACTATATTTCCACAATTTATGTACCATTTTCATTTGTATTTTCACATATCAGTGTGTTTCATAATCAGTTCAAAGATGGCAGAATAACGGCTGTTTTTATTTTTGGCCATATTACTACTACACGGAACACGTGTTTTGATGTAAATAAACAATCTGTTGTATACGCCACTTGGAACTCAAGTTTTAAGGACATGCTCTGGACAACCCCTCCGCTTTAATATGAAGAGCACAAAGGGAACTTTCAAAAATTTAATGGGGACTGTGTCATTTTCAATGACTTGTTTTTCAAATTTTTCTTCTTCCATCGCCGTTTCTTGTTGCCCTAGAACTTGAACATGTTTGCCGATAGAAAATTCTCAAGCATGTTGGGGACTATGAGAAATGAGGCACCTAACTTTCAGAATTCTGATTGGTTGATTAGTTTGGCAGCCATCTTATATTAGATTTAATTTAAACTGGAAGTGGCAATTTTGAACCCTTTTTAGCTCCGCTGACGACTTTGTCGAGCAGAGCTTATCATATGAGTGATTGTCCGTCGTCCGTCGTCGTCCGTGTCAATGTTTTACTTTTTCGACTTCTTCTTGAAAACTACAAGCCTGAATGCTTTGATACTTGGTGTATATGTACCTTGGGTAGACCTCTCTTAGGTTTGTTCATTTCATATTGATATCTTCAATTCTCTAATTTTGGTGAATATTTTTGTCATTTTTGGTAAAAAGTGATATTTTCGACTTCTTGTTAAAAACCAAAAGTTCAATTGCTTTGATATTACATATATAGATACTACATGTAGACCTTTCTCAGATTTGTTCATTTCGTGATGATATCTTCAATTCTCTAATTTTGGTGAATATTTTTGTCATTTTTGGTAGAAAGTGATATTTTCGACTTCTTGTTAAAAACTGTAAGTCCGATTGCATTGATACTATACATATTGTTCATTTTCTAATGATGTCTTCAGTTCTTTAATTGAAATGTGCATTGCTAACAGCGGAGCTATCTCAGCCGATAGGCTGCTTGTCTGAGATTCTAGTCATTTTTTTCTTTTGAAAAATGGCAAAAAACACTTCTTCTTCAGAACCACTGACACATTGATCTGAAAATTGTTTTTAGCATTTATTTATAAATCTCTCAAAAAGTTTGTGAAGCTCTGGTTTGGCTGCCTTCTCTGTTTTCTTCTAAACAAGAAGCAGTTTTCTTACAACTGCCACATTTATTCAATTATTTTTAAATTTGCCATGCTTCATCTTCAGATAGCAAACAAATAATTTAGATCAGTCACATTATTTTACCACCATTTAGTATTTTCGCCAAAAGTGACAAAAATAGAGGCATTTGTTTCTCAGGAGTGTTTTCACTATTCAACTAGATATATGAGCATATCTTCTTATGAGAAAAATAAAATAATTTTGATCAGTCACATAGTTTGGACTTTTTGCCAATACCAATACCAGTATATCTAGCATATATGGTCTTAGATTTTTACGAAAAAAAATATAAATAATTTTGAGTCACATGGTTTGGCTGCCATCTTGAATTTTCAACAAAAATGGCTAAGATTTTGTGCATTTGTTTCTCATGAGTGCTTTGACCAATTAACTTGCTATTTTGCATGTATGATCAAAATATCTTTTGAGAAAAATACCATTTTTATCAGAGTGTACATATTAGGGCATATTCAGCTTTCAAACTTGGACCCAACAAAGCTGCTCTGCAGTTTTAATTTCATATTGAAACAAGTGTGAAACAAGTACTTGTGAGTTTCATGTGAGTTTAATATGTATTTGTATACATCTGTCACCGTAATGCCATAATAAGTTACAGCGTGCCGTAATTTTGCGGTATTACACTGGGTATTTTCATCCTACCTTTGTAGGAATTTAAACGCAAATTCCAAATATGGACCAATTATGCGCGTAAGCGTCCTCCAATAATAAAAACAAACATGGCTGCCCCCAGTGATTGACCGGACCCCACACAAATAACTTCGCTCAATTTGTTCTAAACTTTTTGGATTTCGGCATTCTCATGATGTATTCCTGGGGGGAAAAGATGTATAATAATAAGAAGGCCGTACAGTGATAGTATGCAAGAAGGCCGTACCATACTTTGCAGTATCCTTGTAATAACCTCATAGTATCATTGACTGAAAGAGTTCAAACAAAAATACTGTAAAAGAATTAATTTTCACTGGTATTTAATATCTCTGTTTTGATATTTTGAGAATATTTCCCGATTTTCCTATTGTAATATAATATAATTTTATATGGATTTAAAGTGGATTTCACTTAGTAACATGATTGCAACATTAATTTAAGCATTTACAGTAATATTTGATATTAGACAGTATTAAACATTAGTAAGGATTTTCTCAAAACACTGCAAACAGTTGTGCAAAGCATATAATATACAACCTCTTACAATGAGAAATTGCTTGACAGACATTGAACTAAGGTTTTGAATTTTCGGATTTATTTTCTAATAATAACACAGTCATTGGTTATTGCAGAAAATCTGAAAATGTGATTTTGAAAATTTTTTGTTTTAATATTAACCACATGAGCAAATCTTACTAAAATATTGTTTTAGACACAGTTACATGGACAATGTCACATAAAATGGGATGTGAAACGAGTCGAGTAGTTGCCATTTCATTGAAATCGGTCACATGATGGGAAACATAGAGAAGCATGGCGCATGGCGCACGGCGCGCACGGCTCACACTATTGTGGGAAATGACACATAAAATAATAATTGAGAGGCCGTCAGAGAAAGGCTTAGTCCCTCAAGGTGGCAACATTTTTGACATTTTGCACATGACCAGCGAGAAATGCCAGAAACATCTCAAATATGTAATTCTACGCAGACAGAATGTATGCGCATGGCGTAATGAAGACTTGTTTACAGAAAACGAATGTTAGAATGTTTTCAAATTACATCACTTGGTCACGTGACTTTGGGCCAGAATCCCAGCTCAGTGGAACAATATGGCGATTACTAGTTACCTGCATCCTCTTTGCCATTCGCAAAGGACGCCAGGAACCAGCGAATACATAGCGTATGATATGTATTCAGTATCAATATTTCGGCGAGGGTGTTACAAATTTACACTAATGAAAAATTTTTTATTACTTTTTTTTTTTTTATGATATCTTTTTAGTGTTATGCCAGTATATAGCAAAACATACACTGTGGATAAGGTATATGTTGGAAATTTCCTGTTATCGGAAAATATCAAAGACAAAATAGACGATTATAAAGAATACAAATTATTTAGTTTACCAGACGGTGTGAAAGATGCACAGTTATATCAAGGATATATTTACCACGGCAGAGACCCATCCCATCCACAGGTATGTAAAAAATAATAAATTATAAATAATAAAATATCTGCTAAATTGTTGCCTGGTGAAAGTGCCAGTACCAAAATTATTAAATTATTAAAAATTCACAAGTTATGCTTATCATTCATTTTTATATCTGGACAACCTAAAATCCCAGCATTCAATGCGGTTTCAAATCCTGCTTCGGAAAACACTCCATGCAACTAACCTGGGTGGTATGAAATGTTCAACGCTTGCCAGGATGCAGTGACAACAGAGAATGAGTCTCCAGTGGCAATTCTTTTTATTCATACATTCTGGTACGTTTGTAATATAGTGCAATACTGGTATCTGTATACATGTATATAAAAATAATTCTGACTGTAAAGTTTTATCAAATATTATTTTCAGATTGGGGATGTTAGAGTAAAATTTAGTTACACAGGAGTTAGTGGTACTAAACATTCCACGGTGTATGTTGGACCTCAACAGAAGGTATAGTATTATTCAGTTGCTTAAAGATTTATTTCTCGCACCTTCTGGGTGGTACACCAATGGATTGTCCATTCCTGGTGCATGTCAATAATGATAATGATAATGATAATGATAATGTCAATATAATGGCAATTATAAAAAAACTGACCGGTCACTGGTAGCATAGTGGTTGTCGCTCCAGACTCATGATCAGTAGACCCAAGTTCAAATCCTACCTTAGGCTGAACATCAAAGGGTCAACCCCTACCCTGGGTGAGTGTGCCACAGACTCAATGGGAAGGCCAATTCCACTGGCCGAGATTCATTCACTAACGAATGCGACTTTGGGGGAACCTTTGTTAAGGTCCGCAGGTGCTTGTGTTCGACCGAGCCAGGATAGCTCATTAAAATTACGATTTGACAGAGAGATGGCCACACAGCCCAGTCATGTAGTCCCAAACATGAATATGACTTCTGTGGCAATTGGCACATACAAAAAAAAAAGTCAGGAGAGACAACGGTGACATTCAATGTCCAGAACTGTCGCCTGGCACAAAAATATTTGTGACATAAAAATGGTAAAATCTAATCTTACTTTTTACAAAATGTATTTGCTACCAGATTTTATCTACTGTAATTTTCAGCAAACTGGTTGTACCAGTATTCTATTCTATTTCTTATAAAAGCATCTTCATAATAAAATTGAAAACATTGTATTCCTTGCAGGTTAGTATCATTGCAAAACAAGTTGGCGCCTCTTTGAGTGGGTACCAGACATATAGCGGAGAGAGTATAGAATTAATACAATATGGACATTATAGTGCTAAAGTAAGTACAAATTTGTATTGATTGATTGTCACTTATCTGTGGATCAGTTATTCTCACATAATCTGTAACATTTTTGTGAGGTCTCTAGCATATCAACTTTT